TGAGTGGGACACGGTGCTGTATGCCTGTAATCCCAGCGGCTCTGGAGACTGAGGCTACTGAGGCAGGAGGATCTCAAATTCAAAGCCAGCTTCAGTAACTTAGGAAAACCTTGTCTCAAAATAAAATATTAAAAGGCCTATGGTGTGTCTCAGTGGTTAAGCACCCCTGGGTTCAATCCCCAGTACAAAAAAAAAAAAAACAAAAAAACAAGACTAAACTGGACCATGACAAATGACATTTTTCTCTAAGGGTTAGTGTGAGAACTGGATTTCAACAAACCATAGTGTCAGCTAAGAGGCCTCTGGGCTACCTTCCAAACACAAAAGATAACTGAAAAGAGCATTGACTATGAGGTCAGGAGGGCCTGAGTACAATTTCCAACTGCACGGGGCCTGTGTTCTCCTCTAATATTGGTTCCCCAGTGTCTCTTGTCTCCTATATGGGCTGATTTCTACTGGATTTTTCTATCTATCTATCTATCTATCTATCTATCTATTTATTTATTTATGTACCAGGTATTGAACTCAGGGGCACGTGACCACTGAGCCACATCCCCAGCCCTATTTTTTGTATTTTATTTAGAGACAGGGTCTCACTGAGTTGTTTAGCGTTTCATCATTGTTGAGGCTGGCTTTGAACTTATGATTCTCCTGTCTCAGTCTCCGAGCCTCTGGGATTACAGGCATGCGCTACCGCCCCTGGCTTCTACTGGATTTTGCACACCCTGTGCAAGTGTGCATGAGTGTGTGTGTGTACATCTGTGTGTACAAGATAGGGGAAGGAAGAGGTGGGGATGTGTCACCTCTAGTCTGCATTGCTTTTTTTCCTCTTCTTTGAGTGCTTAATGTCCTTTAATTTGTCTTTTCAAACTCAAGCAGAAGCTGATTGCAGTGATTAACCAGGTATTGCATTCATTTAGGTTAATATGCTCATGTGTAAATTTCCACACTTATGAGAATTATGCATTCACCTATTGTTCAAATGGTGAGTCCTTGAGGACAGGGATAGCATCTTATTCACCTTTCTCCTTGCAATAGCAGTTGACTTCCAATACCATATATATATATATATATATATATATATATATATATATATATATATATATATTTGTACTGGGGATTGAACCCAGGGGCGTGTTACCACTGAGTTACATCCCCAGCTCTTTTATTTTATTTATTTATTTATTTATTTATGTATTTATTAGAGAGAGAATTGTTTTAATATTTATTTTTTAGTTTTTTCGGTGGACACAACATCTTTATTTTTATTTTTATGTGGTTCTGAGGATCGAACCTAGCGCTCTGTGTATGCCAGGCGAGCGCGCTACCACTTGAGCCACATCCCCAGCCCCCAGCTCTTTTAAAAATGTTTTTATTTTGATACAGGTTCTCCCTAAGTTGCTTAGGAGCTCTCTAACTTGCTGAGGCTGCCCTCACACCTGCAATGCCTCTGCATCTCTAGAGCCACTGGAATGACAGGCGTGCACTTCAGCAATTACTTTTGCTATGAGATTGACATGCTTTTCTATTTTCTTGTCCATTTGAACAAAAAATCACCAACATCATCCTTTCCTTGAGGACTAGGGAAATCTACCCACAAAATTTTCACTCTTTTGCAACTGAAAAGGTGATACACCTGCTACAGTGTTGAGTGTAGCAGGCAAAGCTCAAGATGAGGGTTCCAGAAATCAATGCTGATTTCTCTAGTTCCAGTCCCCACCCTCACTTCCCTGCTCCCCCAAGACATCATGGTCCTTGTGGAGTGAAGAATTGACTCAATTTAGACTTTTGAGGAGGTTGTATTTTATATAGTGGTATATAGTGGGTATTCATCATGCTACCCAAGCACATTAACTTTTTTTTTTTTTTTTAACTCCCAGGAAAACAACTGGTCAATGCACTACCCAATGCACAATTTCTATCACTTTTTTTTTAAAGATTTCTTCTTTAGTTGTAGTTGGACACAATACTTTTATTTTGTTTGTTTATTTTTTTATGTGGTGCTGAGGATTGAACCCAGAGCCTCACACATGTGAGACCACTGAGCCACAACTCAGCATCCCCCTTTAACTTTTTAATCTTTCATTACTTTATATGCAGTTCTTTTTTCAAATTTTAATTTATGGGCTGGGGATTTGGCTCAAGCGGTAGCGAGCTTGCCTGGCATGCGTGCAGCCCGGGTTCAATCCTCAGCACCACATACCAACAAAGATGTTGTGTCCGCCGAGAACTAAAAAATAAATATTAAAAATTCTCTCTGTCTCTCTCTCCTCTCTCACTCTCTCTTTAAAAAAAAAATTTAATTTATTTGTATATTTTAGTAATATCTTCCAGTGTAGAAGTATGTGTCACTTTCTGGGTAACAAGAGGAGGTAGATCTACAAACTTGGTTGCCTATGTGTTAGTAGAATATATGAGGGAAGGAGGTAACCCTAGTTCTCCCCAGAAGAGCTCGTGTTTAGCAGACAGGGTGGGAAGGGGACTTTTCAATTACGCCTTTGTGTACCTTTTGGGGTTGAGTCATATAAATTACCTCATTCTCTTACATAGAAACCATAAGCCAATAATAATTTTATATCTAACCCTTTGAAGGGGTTTTTCATGTGCCTTGCCATGGGGATGTTACTGCCAAAGTAACATGACTGAGGGAAAACAGAGCTTAAGTACTTGGTCAGTAAATAACATCTGTGGGCTGTGAGGGAGGAAGTTCAACTCAGCTGTCCAACATCACTTAGGTTTTATGATCATTTTCTATTTTTAAAATTCTTTTATTTTCTTCCCGATTCAATTAACAAGTTTTTATTTAGTGCCTACTCTCTGCCCAGTACTGTCCTAGGAATTCTAAAAGAAGCCTCTGTGAAACAATTTTTAAAGTTCCTGCCAAGTACGGAGATCACCATGGAATGGGGTGACTAGAAAGTTGTCTTGGGCCCCTTGAGATGGTGCATGCCTGTAATCCCAGGGACTAGGGAGGCTGAGGCAGGAGGAGCATGAGTTCAAAGTTAGCCTCAGCAATTTAACAAGGCCCTAAGCAACTGAGCAACTGGGGATGTGGATCAGTGGTTAAGCGCCCCTGGGTTCAATCCCCAGTACCAAAAAAAAAAAAAAAGTGATCTTGAGCTGAGTCTTGAACTGAGACTTGGAGAGAAGCTGAAGGCTTAGACAAATGGAAGAAAGGCTGGAGGGACTGCTGCCTAGAGGAAACCACTTGTTGGGGAACAGAGGGCACACTGGAGAGAAGTAAGAAATAAGGGTGGCCTGAGAATCCAGTTTAGAAAGCCTTTAAAGCTAAGGAGGCAGGAGAGCTTGACCTTGGGAGTCCACTGGGAAGAAGTGATAAACCCAGGAGAGAGGTAAGACATGGCAAGAAACCAAATAAATGCAAGACAACCACCTTTGCTGCAGTAATTGGGATGTAAAGTTACAAGGGTTGGGTTTAGAAGTTACCAGGGGGAACAAGAAAGAAAGAACTGAGACATTTCAAAGGAGGAAATATCAAGTCTTGATGACAACTGGAGATGAGAAAGGGAGAAGGGTGAAACATAATTCCAATATTTCTAGCACAGAGAGAAGAAAAATGGCTCATTTTCAGATTTTTTTTTCCTTCCACAAAAATTGAGCCCCTCTTGGTGTCCAGAACCGATTTTTTTCCCCCCATTAGAAACACAGGTGATCTTGCTTGCCTTTGGGTATTCTTGCTGGGCTTTGTTCTCCAGAACCACTCATACCTCTGTGACAGGGCCCCCACACTGGAGCAGCACTGTTTACAGGGCGTTTATCATACACTAGACCAGAAGTCCTTTGTGTGCAGGGAGCTAGTCTCATGCATAGTAAATATTCAAGTGTTTAATTGTTGAACAAAGTGAGAGAGATCTAAATGAAATTTAACATTAAAAAGCATTCCAGAAACGTATTAAATCATTGAAATTAAAATTTACAAAAATGAAAAGTTTCTCTGCTCCAACCACTCACACCACATGCCAAGATCACTCTTCCTGTAATGAATGGTGTGTTAGGGTTCACACAATTTTATCCCTCAGTTTATGTTGGAATACCTAGTAATAGCAATAATGGACTGTGTAGTAAGCATAATGCGGCCTAGATTTAAATGTAGCCTTACATATATTTTACCTGCTTATTAGATAATAATTACATTATTCCCGTTTTATAGGACACAGGTACAGAGAGGTTAAGAAATTTCCACACGGCCACCCAGCTAGTAAGTGTTGGAACTGGTATTTGAGTCCAAACAACTTGACGGTGGAGTCACCACCTTTATAGCTCTAGTGTCTTAGAGGAGCGTACAGCTCTCTTGAGGGAACCTACAAGTTATTCGAGGCCTATCGCCTTTTCTTTGGGGGTGTTGGTGGTGTTATTCGCCCACCGTACTGACCACGTCCTCTTGGAGAATACGTGGTTAGAAGCGAGCACTTCAGGTGTTCTGAAATTACCTTTAAAGATCACCACCTAATAACACGGGAATGAAAAACTCTTTACCTGGAACTGAAATCCCCCCTCATTTCATTAACAGGCTTGCTTTATTTGGAAACTCTTAAAATAAGTGGTCACACGATTAAAAAAAGAAGCGGCGCGCCCCCTCCCCGGCGGCCGGGCGCAGCTGTCCGCGCCTCCCCCGCGCCCCGCCGCCCGCATTCCAACTCTCTGAGGTCACGGGCCGCCGCCGCCTCCCCGGATCCGTACGCCCGCCCGCCCGGCCAGGGGGAGGGACGCCCGGCCCCAGCCGCTCCGCCGCTCCGCCCGCGCGTCCCGCGTCCGCTCGTCCGTCTCGCTGCCGCCCCCGGCCCTGCGGGCGCGGGCCTCTGCGTGCGGCGCTCCTCGCCGGCGGGCGTCCCCCGGGCCTTCGCCTCGTTGCCGCGGTACTCTGCCCAGGGGAATGGTCTGCGGGCCGCGTTTTTGGAGACAGGAAGTGAGGCGGGCGATCCCCATGAGCGCGCAGCGGCACGGGCTGGCGTGCGGGCGCGGCTGCGGCGGCCGCGCGGCGGGGCCCGGGGAGGCGGGCCGCTGAGCGGGCGCGCGGCCCCGAGGATGCGGGCGCGGGTGCAGGTGAGGGCGCGGGCCCCGGCCGGCGGGAGGGGGCGGCGCGCGCCGCGGGGCTCCCGGCGTCCGCGAGGATGGGTCGCGGCTGCCGGACCCCGGCTGGAGGTAACAAAGAGCGGAGTCCTGCCTTCCCAGGTTCGCTCGGGTCTGCCCCAGGGATTTCCAAAACGGGTCTATAACTTTTCTGAACTCCGTGGCGGGTTGCTGTGGCTTTATTCTGGTTCAGGATCTTGAAAGTCAGGCATGTTTGTGTCTCTTGGAATATGTAAGTGTGAAATTTGCCAGATAACTTTGGAGAGAAGGGGCGTTTGGAAGGACTGTTGGGTAACGCCTTGTTTTGTTTTTGGAGTAAAGCGTGTTTGCTCTGGAAAAAGGAATTCCTGGATTTGCAAATTCCGACTTGTGATTTCTGCAAATCCTGATTAGATTTTCCACTTTTGGTATGCTCGTCCTATTTTCTTTTGCTGAGAAAGCCTTATGATAATAGTGCGTGCTGGAAAGCACATTCAGAATGTTCGCGTGCTTCAAGTGACAATCCGTACGTATATGCCTAAGAGTAGCTGGCAGATTTTTTTTAAAGTTTGTGAAATAGACAGTAATTTTACCCTGAAAATAGTTGTCTATTTTGTTTCTAGGATATTTTATAGTAGAGTATCAACACAGATGTTTGCACGTGAGAAGCAGGTTTGATATAATGGAATAGACGTACATATCATTTTAAAGATGACATATTCTCTGTCCTCTTAATGATTATTTATATTAATCAACATAGTCAAAGTTACATGTGGTGAGGCCCTAAGTAGTGTGTTTGGGGTAGGTGTGAACCTATAGGATTTCAGAGTTAAAAATGTATTTGAGAAACTTTTGGAAGGGGATGTGGAGAGGAAAAATTAAAGTGAATTCACTAGCAGCAGGACTACCTTTTGTAAACTGTACTGAAACAGAATTTAACATGTTTTCTTACTATAAAACAGAAAAGGTTTGTACAGAAATTATCTCCCAGTTTTTTCTTCTAGAAGCTATGAATTATCTTTCTTTTAATAGTTAAATTATAATTCCAGACCCAACCACCTTTCAAATTATTGCATATTCTTTTACATAATGCAAGTTATTGCATACTTATTATTTGCCCCCCCCCAGAATCCTAATTTTCTATTTTTCTTTATTTTAATAGGTTGTTATATTCAAACATTCTTAGCTTTATGGCATCATTTGGTAGCAAATACTGTACACAAATATAAATTAAGATGTGTAAATCACTGATAAATTTGTAAATTACTAAGCAGAACATTATTTAATGCAGTGGGTTTTATGTAATAAGGAAAAAGCAAGCTGGACTCTTGGGGAAAAATACATGTAAATACACACACACACACCCCTCATCTCTTTCAGCTATAACATTTACCAAAATAAAAAAGAGGAACATTGGCTTTTTCTTATCCCTGATGCTGTAAAACATTTGAAATCTCAGGGATAATTGAAAGTTTTGAGTTTGCTTAATCAAAGCTGAAGTTAATAATTAAGTTATATAGTGTAGTAACTATTGTCTTCAAGGCTTAGTTCTTTGTTATGAAGAACTATCATATTTTAACAGCCCGTAAATCAAATGTTTTATTTTTCTTTTACATATATGCAATATCTTGTCTCTTCAGTCACACTAATCAGTTGTTTCCAGTTATTATAGTTTGTATAAAAAACTGAAATCAACTTATCTCATGGAAGAGAATTTTGTATATATATTTGTGTGTGTGTGTGTGTGTGTGTGTGTGTGTGTATACATATATTGGGGGGATACTGGGGACTGAAACCAAGAGTGCTCTATCACTGAATTACTTCCCAGCCCTTTTTACTTTTTGAGACAGGTGCTGAGGCTGGCCTTAAACTTGCAATGATCCTCCTGCCTTAGCCTCCTGAATCACTGGGTTTACAGGTGTATGCCACCATGCCCATCTTTAAAAATCTACACAAACACTGCTGATTTATCAGAAAATCTTCTAGTTAAAAGCTTACTTAAGGTTCTTAAAGTTCTCATTGTTTGATTTTTTTTTCATTTTGCTTTATTTAGTTTATAAGTCTGAAACTGGCAAAGAGAATGAAAACTACTGCAGGTGGACACCATATCTTTTTATAATATTTATTTTCCATTTCTATATTATAATGATTTTACTTACAGAAGGCAGTCAGAAAATATTATTAACACTGCTTTAGGTAGTTCCAGTTTTGGTTTTCCTCTCTGGCCTTCTACCCCTTGTTTTTAATTAAAAACAAAAACAAAAGTAAACAAACAAAAAACAAACAAACCCCACTTTCTGGGGGATAACCAAAGCTCAAAAAACAAAACACAAACAAAAAACCAGACAGAAAACCATGGTCAGGTCCTCATTAGAGATACAGCTCTGTATGTAATTATAGCATGCTTGTAATCTCCTTAAGGACAGCGATGGCTTAGGATTCGTCTTAGATTTCTCAAGATGCTCATTACGCTGCCTTGTGCTCGGAGACGCAATACACATTTGTGGGATGGAATTTCAAAATGTTAAGCTCGGCAAAGGCTAGGGGAATAACTAAATCCTGTTCTCTAGCTGTGCCATTCCCCATCCCCGAGTGCCCATCACCTTTGGGGCTGAGCCACCGTCAGGAGAGGGACAGCCTGCGGACTGGGAGTGGAGGAGGAGCCTGGGATGGAGTCCCTGCTCAGCCCATAGTAGCGTGAGGTTGTGAAAGCTGCAGCTCCCGAGGCCCGGGTTAGGTGAACTGCGCCGCTCCGCGCGGTCCCCGGCTCTAGTTCAGGGAACAGCTCCCACCCAGGCTCGCTGGTGAGAGCGGCCGAGCTCTCTGGAAATAGTTGTGATTTTGTCGATTCCTTTAGGGGCGAAAATATTCCCGGGGATATCAAAGTACCCCAAAGTACCCGCTGCCGGTCGCCCCCAGTTTCGGCCCAGAAGTTACCATCAACAGGTGTGGTTAACAACGTTGTAAGTAACGCACTTGGGGCGCAGCGGCTCCCCCTCGGCGTCCCCCGCTGGCGCCAACCTCACCTTCTACGGGGTGCGAGCTGCCCCCTGTAAACGTTCCCTCCGGGAGCGAAGGGCGGGTCCTAGCCAAGCACCTCCGCTCGGAAACGCAGCCGCGAGCGGAGGGTTCCGGGACCTCCGAGGGTACCCGTTCGCCCCGCAACGCCGCCGGCTCTCGACTCGGTGGSGCGGGGAAGCGGGAGCCTGAGTTCACCGCCCAGTTAGCCTCATGGTCTTGCGGAACCCCGACGGCTCCTCGGTAGCCTAGGATGGCGTTCAAGGCCTCGCCCGCCTCTTCAGGTGAATGCCCACAGGACGTCCCGACCCAGGAGAGAACTACCAGAACTACCACGGTTTGATCCTGGGCATTCGTAGGGTCTTTTATGATATGTTTATAAACCAATCAATCCGATAACCTACGTGTTTATACGCCAGCCAGGGTTTTTGCAAATGCTTGCTAAGCAATTCGCCTCCTTTGAAACTCGCAGCTGCCATATGTTAGAAGGGATTAGTCCTCCTATAAGGAGTTCAAGGTTAATTTGCCTAAAGCGTCTGGAACTCGAGCCTAGCCCTTCGGGAGGAGTTTTGCACTTATTTTCACTTAGGCAATAAAAAGAAAAGAAAAGAAAAAAAAAAGCTGTGACATAGGAATATTCCAAAGAATTAATTTACCTGTTAAAAATTAACAGTTCTAAATATTTGGGATTATGGTGGTGCTGTTATTTAATCCTGACCGTAGCCACAGGATGTCATCACTATTTGTAGGGTAGAGTGAGGGGTGGAGTCTGACCCCGGGCCCAGCCCTGGGCTCTGATGGTGAACTTCCCCAGTGCCTCCCTGATCCTGTTAGTGCCTTCTTTTCCAGCGGAGAGGAGAGCTTGTTCTTTAGGCCCAGTTGCATTGATTTTTTTGTGTTTTTTGAAAGCCAAGTCCAGAGTTACCGTGTTTGGTGTAATTAAGGTTCCTCTTTCCTCAGCGCTGGCGTGGATGCTCCCTTCTCTTGGCCTCTGGAGACTCTGTTGCTTTTTAATGGCGGCGGCAGCTGCTGGGTGAGCGGCGCGAAACTGGACAGTGTTCATCCCTTCAAGAGAGGGCCGCTGTCTCCCGACGTCATCACCGCGGGATTTTCCTTCTTTGCCCCTCCATTCTTGAAGGGAGAAGATGCCACTGCCATTTGGATTGAAATTGAAACGCACCCGGCGCTACACGGTGTCCAGCAAGAGCTGCCTGGTTGCGCGCATCCAGCTGCTCAATAACGAGTTTGTGGAATTCACATTGTCTGTGGAGAGCACTGGCCAGGAGAGCCTGGAAGCTGTGGCCCAAAGACTGGAGCTGCGGGAGGTAAGCTATGAAAGAGGCTACAGGCTCCTCTGGCCTGGCTTCATGCAGGATGTGTGTTGGGACACCCATGGCTTGCTCTACCTGTGATGTATTAGTTCAGCCTGCAAGCCCTCCCTGTGACCAAAAAACTTTTCCCATCGTGGTGCCCCATAAGAGAATTAACAGTGCCTGTGATTTGAACATGTTTCCCAAGATGCATCTGCGAATCAAATATGAGTGCATTTTGGGTTATCCAAGTGCCTCTTTTCTAATATAGCCCCCAGTGGGTCATCCTGATCTTTTGATTGACCATTCATTCACTGGCTACTTTCCATAGGCCAGGCCAAGATTCTAGAGATGTATTGTCTGAGCTTGAATTCTGGTGAGTGGTTACCTTGTGGAAGTTACCTGATATTATGGCATCCCAGTTCTGAACCATGGGGATGACCGGCACCAAATTCTCAAGAGTGGTTGTGTGATTCAATGTGCATGCGAAGTAATAAGCTCTAATAACTAGTCTGTAACAGTAATCATAGGAAGTTTTGCCATGGGAAACCCCTAATCTAGTTGCTAGGAATTTGTGGAGTCCTCGTATCCACATAATGCCTTAAATTTAAAATGCTATGTAAGGCCTGTAAAGAAAGGGCTCTAATTAAACTAAGGGCCCTCCCTGTGTTTGGCTGCCTGGTTTGGGGTAAGGGAAAGGAAGAGAAACTGGTTATTCCACTTAAATGCCCATCCTATATTCCCAACTGGAAATCTCACTATTTTATAGTTTGCAAAAAGTCAGGAATAGACAAAATTTTTCCCCTGGCAAAATCATTTGTTCATTCAGGATTGAAGACCTAACAGTGCCAAGTACATAGGTTCACTCTAGCATTGATACTAATGAGAAGACAAGATGATACATGCTGTGATAGGAGAAGCAGAGGGCATAGGGAGGGGCAGCAAAGGGAAAGCTTTTAGGCCAATGGTCTCTGAGCTGCAGCCTGAAGAGTGGGGCAAGGGAATCCTGCCAGAGGCTAAAAAGACTTCCAACAAAGGGAACTGCTTGAAGCCAAAGATGGAGAGGCAGCAGGTCTCCTTGAAGCCCAAGCAGAAAGAGGAAGGACTGAGGGTAGGGATTCCTTAATGCAGGAATTTTGTTTAGGGTTTTGGACTTATCCAAAATAGTGAAGGATTTTTAAACGAAGGTCTGGTGTGATTTTTTTTTTTTTTTTTGTGACAAGAGGAATAGTTCAAGTGTAAATTGTGGTTACCTGGACTTGGATAGGGATGGGGAGAAGTAGGTGGAATCTGGAAATACTTAGGAACTACCTACCTTGCTAGGTGTTGGGGAGGGGTTAGCAAGGGGTCTAGCTCTGTACTCAGGTTTTCAGTAGATGGTGGGGAATATAATTGGGAGAGGAAACAAAAAAGAAAGAATGGAGTACAGTTTCAGAAATAAATATCAAGTTGGAGGTGCCACTTGGACACACAGGTGGATATTCCCATCTGGAGCTCATGCAAGAGAACCGGGCTAGAGAGAAGAGATTTGGGAATCATCAGCATAGGTGAGCTAATTGAAGTTAGGAGAGAGGAGATGAGGCTGACCAGGGGAGGAAAAAAGGATGTAGCAGACCCCTCAGGGTTGAATAGAGGAAGGGAGAGCCTTGGAAAGAAACCCACAGGTCAGCCCAAAGAGGAGAAGAAAGTAAACCAGGAGGGTAGTTTCAGTGACTAGTCAATCCTGTTTACTTGCATTTCTTTTGTTTTTGCTTCCTTTACCCTTTTGTTTTTGCTTCTTTACCCATCCTTTTTTTCCTACATTGTTTTATTATTTTCTGTAAACTTCATCCAAATGTATAAAGGTGTGCCTATCATCCCTAGAAAGCTTCTCAAGGAACTGTTTTATTTATTTGTGTATCTAGAGTACCAGGTATGGAATGTGCTCAGTAAATGCAGGTTGAACTGGACCCATGGCATTGCTTTCCTTCTGTTAGTTAAGAGGTCCAGAAAAGTTGCCATTTCCAGCTAGATGTTATCTGTCTCAGGAAACAAGCAGCTTCATACAACTTGGTATATTATGAACTTGATTTTTAACAGAAGAGCAGAGTACTTTCAGAGGGAATAGGCATAGTCCCTAGAAAATGTCTTGCCCTTGGAGAGACCATCCTATCTTCAACATTTAACTGCAGACATGGTTAGAAAGTTTGTGTAGCAAACTTTTCTTTTGAAAGCTCCAGAAGCTCTAAACTGTAGCATGTAAACAGATGGCTCAAGCACCAGGTCTAATCTTACCATAGGACTGTTCAGAAATAATCTGAGTGGGATAACACCTGTTCCTTGCTTGTGTTACATACCAAGAAATAATCAGTATGTTGGTATCTTGCACTATTCTCCCACTGAGCAAAGAATTATTATGGTGTGCAGATTTGGCTGTTAAAACGTTATTACTGCCCAAATATAAATTGGTAGAGGGCCAGGGGAGTCTATACTCTTTCGTTTACTTGCATACCATTTCACTTTTATGATGGCAGTTATAGGGGATGCACAGTAAACCTGTGATAATGTATTCCTGTTAATGATAACAGTAGCCTCTTAGAGCTGTTGAAATTCTTTGCCTGTCATTCATTCTAAATTTTACAATATTTTCTTCAGAACCTCTGAAAGTCTTTATGAATCTAAGGGGAATTTGAAAACTTTCTTTCCAATTTTGAAATTATATAGTTTAAAAAAAAATATATATATATGTTTTTTAGTTGTAGTTGGACATAATACCTTTATTTTGTTTATTTATTTTTATGTGGTGCTTAGGATCGAACCCAGTGCCTCCCATGTGCTAGGCTAGTACTCTACCACTGAGCCACAACCTCAGCCCCTGTTACAGAGGTTTTGAAGGAGGTGGTGAGATAAGAAGGTGTTAGTAGGGCATGGCCATTCCCATGGGGCAGTGTCACCTTGTGGAATCTGTACACAGTCTGGTGGTCAGGCTTAAAATCCCAATATTGCTGGGAGGACCTGGGATAAACCAGTACAATAAGGATGGTATGTAAAACCAGGATACAAGTTTAGTAATTTATAATGTGCTATGGAACTCCCAAGGGCCCCAAGTTTGCATGCTTTCAGAGCCAGGTCATGATCTCCCTGCAGGTAAGCCATGTGGAAGCTATGGCCAACCAGTAGTGCTCTGTGAGCATGGAAAAAGTTACATATTTTCATCAGGGGAGTAGTGCTGTCTGTAGGACCTGGCAGGTTCCAGTGAATGGGGGAATGTTCCTTTCCTCTGGACAGTGCTTCCATGATCTTTGCGTCTATTGACCACTTGAGAAGGCTGTTTGACACAGTGCTCAAGGCAATCTCCAATAGAGTCAGAAACTCCTGGGATTGGATCCCAGTGCTATCACTTATTAAATCATTATTAAACTACTTAATTTCTCAAATCTACTTTTTTTCTTTTTCAAATCGGGTTTAATAATAGTATCTATTTGATGGCGGTTGGAGGGTTTAATGTTAAATGTAAGATATTTAGCAAATAACCTGGTATTTAGGAAACTCCTGATAATTGTTAATCTTAATTATTATTGTTACTTGTGACTCTTGTGCCATGTTGTGGTGACTGACTAAATTTTCTTCAGATGAACTCTTTTCCTTTTTTTAAAAAATATTTTTTAGTTGTAGTTGGACACAATACCTTTTTAAAATTTATTTATACGTGGTGCTAAAGATCGAACCCAGGGCCTCGCATGTGCAAGGTGAGTGGTCTACTGCTGATCCACAACCCCAGCCCAGCTCTTTTCCTTTTTCTTTCCTTTTTCTATTTTTAATTTTTGTGGTACTGGGGATCAAACACAGGGCCTTATGCATTCAGGCAAGTGCTGTAACCACTGAGTTACATCTTTCTTACTTTTGTAATATTATTATTTCTTTCATTTATTGACAGAGTCATGCTTGTTTGTAAAATGTTCTTACAGTGGTCACACTTCTTAACCATTACTAAGCTGTTAAAGTGCTAGCGTGCCGTCATAATTTAGTGGTACTATTTTGAACACCTCTTTCCCTGGTAGCCGAAAAATTAATTTATCAGTGTCGTTGCCCTAAAATACAGAGCTTCAGTAGGGTTTTTAATTGCTCTTTTTGCCTTTTTCTTCCCTCTTATGCTCAAATCTTAGGATTAAAAAAAAGTTTTATAAAACTTTGGGTTAGGTTTATATTTTTTTCTCTAAGGTATTACTTTTTCAAAAATTCTTGTTCAGCAATAGATATTATAATCACATTTTTCATGCCATTGTGGATTTCAATTAGATTCATTGCAAACTGTTCTGATACACTTTGCCTTCTTTGATTTTTAAGGTCATATTCAGCTTAAATTTACATTTGATTGAGGTTTAAGGAATTTTTTAATCTTCAGGATATAAGAAAGTTCTGAAACCATGGAAATCTTTTCAAGATAATTTTTTTGCCTCTCCAGTTTTGGTTTCAAGCTTTGGATATTTGGTTACCCTGTTGTGATTTATCATCGATCCTCATGAAATGTTTTCTAAGTTGTATTTGCAGTACATTACACACATTTTTTGTTCTTTTGCATGTGGTAAGCTCCATTGGGGTAGGATTGATGTTCACTGGGGTATCCCTGGTATGTGAACAGTGCCTTGCACCTTGCAGTACTTAGTTGCTGAATAAATGTCTACTTAGCTTAAGACTCAATATTGTTGCTTTGCATTTAGATTGGTGAGTGTGGACAGCAGGTGAGCAGTGAGCCTTTATTTGCCCTATGATTTTATTTCCCAGAGAGAGCTGACCATTTCCAGAGCTTTGTATTCAGAATGAAGCACCTTTTTCTGTAGATATTTGTTTCTTTTTCACTTTGGGGCTTCTGAAACACTTAGAAAGGGATCTAGTTCTCGCACTCCCCAGGGGAAGAGTGCTGTGTCAAGGCAAGGTCAGCTTTCCCACAGCACTTGGAACAGATTCTTCTCATAGTGCTTTCTGGTCTATGGGAACAATTTTTAGCTAAGGGATTTGTGGAATCAAACATATAA